ATCACAAAGCACATTTGCATGCATGTGCTTTCCACACCAACCCAGCCCTGAGACACGTCTCATCCTAATCTTAGAAATGAGCAATCTGAGATCCGGCTGCTAAGAGGTGGAGTGGATGTTAGAATCTAGGTCTGTGACTCCCAGGCCAGTGCTCTCCGCGTTGCACACATGCCTTGTACACACGCTCATGCATGTGCTGCTTCTTCTATTGTACAGGTGTGTGTGGAATGCTCACTAAGTACAAGCCCCTGTTCCAAGCTCCCGGAATAGGAGAGTGAATTAAACAGATGTGGTCACCATCCTGGTGGCACTCACAGTATCAAAGGGAAACAAGTAAACAGGCAATCCCAATACAGAGTGATGACACAAGTTCAAGGTGCTGGAGAGCACATGGGGTGACACCCATTGGTCCTGGGAAGCTGTCCAGAGAAAGAGACATCTCAGCTGAAACTGAGGGCTGAGGTAGAAATTAGCCAGATGAAGAAAGAGGTTCCAAGCGAAGGGAACAGCCCCAAAGAGAGAGAGTGTGACTGCTTGATGGAACTGAAAGCGATTCAGGCCAGCCTGGAAAGGCAGGTGGACGTGAGAGAAAAATCTAGAGAAGTCAGCAGGAGCCACAGAGCATCAAGAGTCTAGTTAGCAAAGTGATGGAATTTGGACTTTGTCCTGAGGTCACTGGGGAGCCCTTGAAGAGTTTTAAGCAGGAGAATTACAAGGTCAGGTTTGCATTTAAGAAGGCTCTCTCAGGCTAAGATGTGGGAAATTGCCCAGAGGCAGGTAGCATGAATGGAAGGAGCCCAGCAAGCAGTTGTTGAAGTCATCTGGGAGAGAGCTGACAGCTTGTTCTCTGAGGCAGAGAGGGAATCAAGCTGAGTAGAGTGTTAGGAGGATGTAGAATGGAGGACACCGCAGGGCTGAGTGAAGGGGCTGAGGGAGCGAGGGGCAAAGGGCGGTGTGCAGGTTACTGGCAGGAGCACACGAGTGAGTACTCTGCCCTGCAACGAGCGGAGAAGAGAAGGGAGGAAGGGGAAGTCCTCAGGGAAGGTGATCACTTCTGCCTTGGATGCAATGAATTTTAGCTATCTGCATAGCATCAAATCGGCACTTGGGCCAGGAAATAGGCCACCGGGTCAGGAAATCAAGCAGGGCTGAGATGGAGATTTGGGAGATGTCCTAGAGACGTGCCTATAACAGAATGCCTGGAGAGAAGAGGTGACATGAGAGAGGGCCTAGGACAAAACCCTGACGATCACCAGTTTAAGGAACAGCCTACAACAGAAGAGTCTGCAAAGGAGATAGAAGGAGCAGCCAGGGAGACAGGAAAAACAGGAGAGATGGTGATGTGACGCTGAAGCCAACGAGAGAGAACGTTTCCCTCTGGGGACAGCGTCAGGCACAGTGTGGGGCACGCAATGGGTGCAGGTGGATCTGTGAAGGCTGGATGTCACAGGAAGCCAGGCTCGTGAAAGGACAGCCAGACCAGTACATTCCTCCTGCCTTCCAAACCAAGGCGTTACCCCAGGATAGAGACTTTTCTGTGTGGGTGAACACACACTTCCCCGCACTGGAACTGCCCCCAGCAACGCTCCGCTCTCCAAAATGAGCCACGCGGCCAGCGACCCCCTGATAGGAATGCTTTGGCACCAGTAGGGAGAAACCCTCCGGGGCTCACAGGTGGTCCCAGTTGAGTCACAGAGCCTTCTCCCTGCCAGGGGAGCAGCCTCCCCCACATAGGCCGCACCTCCTCAACGCTGAGCCGCCGCTTAGGATGTTGTCCAGGGGTTCCAGGTGCCCTGGGATGGGGACTTGTCAGCACAGGTTCATCCCCTTGGACACAGGTTGGCTTCCTGAGCCATGTCATTAATGGGAATGTGCCTCCTTTAGAAGGTCAGGAGGCAGGAGGCTCCGGCGGGGCAAAGTCCTAAGGAGCAGAACTTAGCCTGGGGCAGGAAGGGGGGGAAAGTGGGACTCAGGAACACTGGGGCTGAGGAGGTGTGGAGATGCAGGGTGGGCCAGGAAAAACGGGGCAGAACGGGGGCCCCGTCAGAAAGGGGTCACCTTCTTTCTCCTTCATCCCTCTGGAAGCCTCCTCTTTCTCCTTCTCACCCTTCTCACCCTTCTCCCCTCCCCTGAACTTCCCCCCTCTTCTCCCTCGGGGCAGGGCTTCCTTAGGCAAGAGTTTGTCTTGACAACCAAGGATCAGGGAGGAACACATGTGGGTGGGGTGGCCTGGAGTGGTGACAACTGCGGAGTGAAGGGAAAATGGTCTCATAAAGACAGGACAGCCCTCAGCCCACACCTCTTCAGTGGGAAAGCCCTTTTTAGCTTGGCCCTGGGCTGCAGAGGAGAGACTGGAACAGCTCGTGGCTTCCCCCAGAGTGTCTGCCAGCCCTGGTGCGGGCGGCTCTCTGGAGGGGTTGACCACAGCACTAAGCAGTTCCCTCTGTCTTGCCTGCCTGGACACATCGGGGCACCGCCAAGCCCGGGGGCCTCCCAGGCTGGGGGCACCTTCTCTGAGCAGTGCTGCTGTGGAAATTGTCTGTTCTTCCTGCAATATCTTCCCTTTTCCATCTCTACACTGGTTTCCTCTGGCATTGACATGAATTTCAGCAGCTTTGCAGCTTTGCTCTTGTATTTCCCTTTCTCCCCGGAATCTAAATCTTCTGGAACTCTATAGAACAGGTAAGAAGAGGAATCATTCATTGAGCACTGAAGGGCTCTCCAATCCTGTGAAATCCTAGGACCTGGGGATGGGCTCAGTGGCGATCAAACAGTTACAGTCCCCCCACTTGGCAGAACTCTGAGTATGAAGATAGAGTCCTCAACTTCTGGGTGGCCTGGACCAAACCTCAGATTATAGCTGCCCGGCAGACAAAGGCCAGTGTGAGCCCACAGGGCCCAGCGCGTGACCTCAGGTCATGTGAACGCTTGCTGAACTGAATTCAGTCTGAATGGCATCAAATGGAACTGCTCTTCTCCCGGGAGGTGACAGGCCCTAGCTTAAGAGGGGGCATGCATAATCTACGATAAGCCTGAACACCCTTAATAAGGGAGCCAGGAGTGGAGTCCCCAGAAACCCAACACTGAGAGAAAATTCAGTCCCCTTCCCTGGAAACTTCCTGTCTGCAGTCACAGGCCAAACAGACGGATTCGGAAAATAGCAGTGACATAATTCACACTTCTTTTCCATCAAGCACCGAGCAGTCGTGGCAATCTGGCCTTTGCTTGTGTTGTTCCCCTGCCTGGAATGCTCTCCTCTCACCACTTCCTCTGACAAAATCCTAAGCAACTAAAGCATTTATGGATGAAATAATATGATATCTGGAATTTAATGGGACCCAGAAAGATTTGGGGGGTGGGGAGAGGATGGGGAGAAAGGAAATAGTTAAAATCAAATTGGCCAAGTGTTGACAATTATAGTGAAATACGGTGGTGGGTATGTAAGGATTTGTTCTATTACTCTATTTTGTGTATATTTGGAAATTTCCAAAATAAAGATTTCTAAAAACTCTTATGCATCCATAAAACCCAGGTCAATGCTACCTTGTACATGACACCTCCTTGACTACTCCCCACTCATGGATAGGCCCCTCTCCAGTCAAACTAATGGCATGACCACGGGAGCACAATGAGTTACTATAGCCATGTATTATATACTTGTTTCAGAGGTCTTTTTAGTTGCCTCTTAAATTTCATGGCAGAAAGGTTAAGAAGGGAAAGCAACTAACATTTCTTACAAGCCCACTGTGTGTGGAACTGAACTGCACGTTTCTCCTACGGGCCATATCCTATGTCCATTCCATATCCATGAATCCAACAGAAGGCTGGGCTCCCAGTGGGTGTCTCATAAATATTCGTTGGAAAATATAGAGGAATCATTAGGTAAATATCAGCGCAATCATCTGGTAGACTAGTAGGCAGCCATCAAAGATAATGGCGAAGTTTCTAATGACATAGGGAGGGACTTATGTTATAATGCTAAATCAAAAAAAATCAAAGCAGAGGGCCAGCCTCACAGCCTAGTGGTTAAGTTTGGCACACTCCTTCAGCAGCCTGGGTTCAGTTCCTGGGCGCAGACCTACACCACTCATCAATGGCCATACTGTAGCAGCCCATATACAAAATAGAGGAAGATTGGCACAGATATTAGCTCAGGGTGAATCTTCCTCAGCAAAAAAAAAAAAAAATCAAGGCACAAAATCATGTATATGGTGTGATCTTAACTATAAAAACTGACTAGAAAAAAGACTGGATGAATCACAAAACGTGCTTATTTCTGGATAGAGGATTATCAGGGATTTTTTTTTTCTTGTTTCTGTATTTTCAAAATATGGTGAACATATATAACAGGAGTCAGTAAACTTTATCTGCACAGGGCCAGATAGTAAATATTCTCAGCTTTTCGGGCCGTCCCATCTCTGTCACGTACTCAGCTCTGCCAGCGTAGCATGAAAGTAGTCTTAGACAATATCCAAATGAATGAGCGTGCCTGTGTTCCAATACAAGCTCATTTACAGAAACAAGAGATGGGCTGGATGCATCTCATGACCAGCCATAGTTTGCTGACCTCTGATGTATCACTTTATAATCAGAAAAAAAACCAATGTTACATAAGTTATATTAAGAATGTATTCTTTGACGATGAGATCTTGGTACTATGATTCATAGAGCCCAGCACAGGACAGAAGGCTTACAGCCATGCCTTATTCTGGTACCCCTGCAGCATAAAGCACTAGAAATAAAAAATCCTAAGTTGGAGAATCTGAGAACAAAAATTCTTTGCTGGATGGAGGAGTAAAAGTTCCTGATGCCAGTAATTACTACAAACTTTATCTCTATTTTTAAGCCTAATATATTTCATTTATTTAGACTTCCTTGTATGTCTTTCAATAAGGTTTTATAAAACTTTAGAGAGCTTTCAGAAATCTATTATTTTTAAAATATAATTTTGGATGAACAGAAAAAATTAAACTATTTTCTTTTTTTTTTCCCCCCTTCAGATTCTATGAAGCAAAGGCCCTGGGCGAAAGTATAAATGAAGCAAGAAGTAAAATTGGTAAGCAGATGCGACTCTGTGAGCCTCTTTTAGGGACCATTTTCCTGGTGAAATCAGGCCATGATGTGCCTCCAAATAGCCACGAAGCCCAGCTTCAGGGGAGTCCTGCCAAAAGGCGCTGTGAGAGTGCCTTTCCTTGGAAATTTGTCATCTCTCCTGCCATCCATCAGGAAAAGTACTTTCTTTCATCTAAAACTTGAACTTTCATCCTCATGCAGGCCTGAGCCCTAGCATCCCAATGAGAAAGTTTTGTTTTTCCCTGGTGTTTTTCAACAATAGCTCCACGAGTCATAACCGCACGATTACAGTGACATTTCGTACTTTCAAGCTCTGTGAAACATTTTTACACCTCCCAAAGCTTACACGTAGCATTTTTGGCACAGGGGCACATCTTTCAGCACCATGCAATAAGCCAGTGGGAAGATGAGAAGAAAAGCAAGCCATTGTGCCTTCCCGGGGCGCAGGCTGCCAGGCAGGCCTCCCCCACTTAGGTGAGCATCCCTGGGAAGGTAGGTTAAGGCAAGAGGCAAACTCAAGCATGCCTCAGATCTTTGTCAAAGCGAGAGGAAAATGTTTCTTTCCCCCCAAGCTGGAAGACACCCAAGGACCTATCTCCCACGCTGGGGCAGCTTCGCAGAGGGGGCCCTCGTGCCTTCACCTCTTGCTAGGGAAGGCCAAAGTTGCCTACCCATTCACAGCTGACTCCTGTGTCCCTCTTGTCCCTGTCTTCCTCCCCTCATAAGTGAGGACAGGACAGAAGCCACTATGAGTGTCGCTTTTGGTTTTTCCTACCGAATGTGGAAAATCACAATAGCTTCAGGTTCTTAACCTAAGGTCTAAGAACTTGGATGGGAGGAAAAATGCACCTTTACTTTCTCCAGCCCTGATGGCCATCTAGCCCTACGTTCCGTGAGGAACGCAGACAGCAGACCAGAGTAGAGCCAGCAGCATCTGTCACAGGAGGAAATCACAGACGTTTTCATTTCACAGCACAGCATGGCAGATGTCATAAAATATCTTTTATGCTCATCAGTACTTCAAAATTACAGTAGTTATTAGACTCACCACTAGATGTTTTTTAATTCAGTTGTATAAAAGCACATAGATATTTCTATATCACGGAAAGTTTTAAAATTTTGATAACTATTTCAATATAATTGATTTCTCTTAAAATCCTATGTTTTTTACTTTATGCACCTAAAATCATCATTCTGAGAGGGACTGCCAGAAAGATCCCTGGCAGAAAAAAGATGACAAACTCCTTTCTCGGCCTGGATTCCCAAACCCTCTAAAAGTGCATGAAAAAAATTGGGGACTGGGAGTATATGTGTGCATTTTTCTGGAGATACCATCTATAGTTTACCTGATTCTCAAAGGGGTTAGAGACCCAGACCAGGAAGGAAATTGACTCGAGACCGATGTCCCATAGACAGCGCCAGGGATTCAGGCAGGAAAGCAGCTCCTGCTGACGTGCAGCCCATTCCCAGCAGCAGGGCAGTGCTGGCCTACCTGGCCAGGTGGCCTGGAAGGAAGGCAGGGTGGGGGCAAGGAGAAGCAGGCTTCAGTGGATCTGGGCTGACTCGTCAGCATCATCTGATTCAAAGGACCCAGTGGTCTGTTTTCATCCCTGGGAGGATAAGGTAGAAAGACCTTTTATAAACTGCTTCTCCCCAAAAGGTTTTGCTCTTGAAAAATATCTAACTCTCTAAACCAAAATAAAACTGTTCCAACACTAATGAGATAGACCCATGATAGAAGGCACCAATGGCCTTTGCTAATATGCTCAGTTTTTCACTCTGAGTACAATGGGCTGTTGTCATAAATAATTCTAAATTCTCCGTAATTTTGGTTCAATAACATATTTCAGCAGATCCGGTTTGCCACGTTCTTGAGATGAGGCAAGTCAGACTGCCCTGCATGCAGTGTACAGGTTATACCCTGCCCAAGAGCCAGGGGTCGAGGGTATGAGGGGTGTAACTGATCTCTCAGAGAGCATGGCTGTAATTCACACACAAAAGGTCCGGATATGCTAGCAGCAGCCCTGGGCACTAGACCTTTGTTTTTTCTGGGTAATAACAGGTAGAATTCGTACCAATGTTGAGATTCAAGTTTCCATCGCTACCAAGAAAGTGGCTAGTTCAGTGGTGCTAATAAAGCCAATGTCACTCTTACTTCCCTTTATGCAAATAGCAGACTAAGACCCATCTCCTGGCCACCCATCTTTCAAATGTGCTCTTGGCCCCCTAAGGGGGCCTAGGTATGTGATCACTGAGACTTAGCCTCATTACTGAACAAGCCCCTCATGGTGCTTGACCACGGTAGCCCACCGTCACTGCATCTCAGACACAAGGTTAAGGTTAAGGAGGTAGAGGGTGAAACTTGTTCACGTATTTAAAATTTCCAAAGCAACTTTGAAGGAAACTGGTTTCAGGAGATTTATGACATTTCTGAGTGCATTTTTCCTAGGGAGAAATTAAATCAAGTGGAATTTTCAGTTCCTGACAAGTCTTTCAGTGAATTTAAGAGGCAGGAGGTGGGAACATGGCACAGATGTACCATCACATGTGTGGGATGGTGACTCAGATCCGCTCCCAAACTGTGCCACATCCTGCCTCTGGACCCTGAGGCAGAAGTGGGATGCTGTGATTTGCACATGGAATTGGCCTGCAGAGAGGAGATGAAAGCTGTGTTTGTGAACTACAGATCAACCAACCCACATGTTTAAAGTTCAGGTTGCCACTGTCTTCTCAGGTAATTTAGTGTTTCTCTGACCTTGTGATCCAGAGCTGTCACTTGAGTTTCATTCTCAAAAGTCCCTAAAGGCTATCAATTCAATAGTGACCACATAATATCTGATTTTTACATGGCATAATCAGTCAACCAAACCTTCCATATTATTTCCTTTTCTTATAACAAGCCAACCCAAACTCGGTAAATAAACTCTTGCCACAAACTCCTTTTTTGTCCTTCTCTGTACACCATTTACGTCAATCCTGATGTTGAAACAGTTGAAATCAGAAATGAAAGAAATAACCAATTTAGAATCTCCTCGTTTCCATAGGAGAGCCATTTTGTTGTATTTATCTGTCCCATACACTAGAGCATTTAGGCTGCTTTTCGTCACAGGGGCTATGTTTTGAAAACGTTCATATACACCCTGCTTCCATTCATCGTATCTCTAAAAATGCCGTTGAGCCCAACTGTGGGAAGATAAATAGACTGCTTTAGAGGCGGTGGCATAAACCAGGCCATTCTCCACTTATTAGAATTCTGGCGGTAGGTTTTCCACATCAGTGTTCTACCACTGGCAGCATTGTCTTTGGCAACAAAGAACAATGAATGGCTGTTTTTTTGGCATTAAGGCCCACTCCTAGACCCGTCCAGGAACCAGCTGCTTTGGACGCAGGTGAAAGAGTTTGACTGACGCCTCTTGGCACCTCTTCCTCCTCCACAGACCCCTGCAGGCCTAAATGAGAACTAACGTCACAGGGTGCTGCACAGAAGGGTTTTCACCAGTGAGCCAATCAGTGATCAATTCACAAGTCACAGGAAACGTAATTGAAGTAGCTGTTAGCAAGAAGGAAAGGAAAAAAACACTAGAAAAGCTAACAAAACATTCTAGGAGTTTTCTTCTCCAAATTTCTTTCTACTCCAAATTCAAAAAAGGACCTCAACCCACCGTTTGAACAATACTCTTTTAAAAAGTATCTCTCTCGTACATTTGGGTTTCGGAAAAATTATTTCTCAGATCTGGGTTTCCATCAGCAGAATAATTGGGATGATTTTTCATTTTGTGCATTTTCTAAACTTTAACTTTCCTTTGACGTTTACTTCTGGACCTACTTTGTGCATCTTGGTTTCTAGTATCTTATCTGGGTGTAGGGAGAAGACGACATCCAGGTCATTTTGCTAGATTATGAAGACCCGAGTCAAGTATATCCTTTTGTTACTACTTGTCACCCCCTCCAAAAACTAAGCACACCAACAACAGCTTCCACAGTTTATGAAGCATAATACAGGCGGATATTACCATAGGTCAGAGATTCTAAGATACACAATTTGTATCGTCTTAACACCTCTGAAATCAGGATATATTTGACCATCTCACTTGGCCATTTTTTCACATTTTAAAAGCCTCAGGAATGAGGATGAGTCTTACAGTCAATGTAGTCTGGATTCCATGAAATATAATATTATCATTATTTTGCAGATTAAAAAAAAAATGGAGTTTCAGTGAAGTGGCCTAGTAAGTAGCCAAACTGGAATTAAAATCCATTTCTGTCCCACTTTAAAACTTTTAAATACAGTATAATATCTCCACAAATTCAGACTTATCTGACTTTGACATTTTTTTCTGAGTTTAAAATTTCACGAAGCTGTTACTTAGTCTTCCTGAATCTTTGGCCTTTATTCAATGTGCCCAACAAAAGGCTCAAACTAGACCGAGCTCTTGCACACGTCGTCCAAGAAGATTAAAAAGGTCTTTGCAACATGATTAATAATAGGTCATCTTTTGCACAATGGAGCTTAGTAGTGGGGGTGAGAGCCCTTGCTCTCCACTCCACGTGCGCTGGCCCAGGGTTGCATCTGCCCTGGGGAAAGGGCACCTTTTTCTAGTTTGCAGACAGGTGTGCAGAAAGGTGTGCTATGGGCTTGCAGCAGCCTTGGTAGGACCCAGTGTCCCATGTGGGTTTCAACTATCATTTTCAGTGGTTTGGAAAATAGAACAGAAGGGTTGTATTTTTAGGTTCTATACAATTCCAACTGAGTGGGTTTACTGATGGTTCAGAAAACATGAGAAAATTCAAAACATAAACTTAGATGAGGTTTAGTAGGAATAGGTGTAATGGAAGTACTTATGCTTAAGTACCAAAACGAACAGTAATAAGGACTAGAGAAAGCCTGATTAAGGGCAGGCATGGAAGTATCAGGGATCACAAAATAAAAATGTGTTGCCATAAACTGAAAAAATACTATATCCTCAAAGGTAAGAAACGCAG